CCTCCCCCAATCCGCTGCCCCACTTCCCCCCAATATCATACATATCTATTACAATTCCCTTGACTCTAATCCCACACTATACTCCACGTCCCGTGTATATATATATATATATATATATATATATATATATATATAGTTTGTATAGTTTGTAACTATAGTTGACATACAATATTATACAACATCAGCTTCAGGTGTACAGTGCAGTGATCAAGCCTCTTCCCCATCCATGATGTAAGACACAAGGGTGTCAGGTGGTCACATGTCTTATATCGGGACCAGATATATCGATGGCCTTCTAGGGCACACTGAAAAACTTGAAACTTAGTTTGTGGATATGCATAAGGAAATAATGAAATGTGTGTTATTTGAATGACATCATCAGATTTGTGTCGTAGAAGATATCTGATGGCTATGTGCACAGTGGGTGATAAGGAGCAAGAATGGGATCAATTCAGATCCATTGCAAAGATCCAAGTGAGAGATGGTGATGGCTTCAACCACGTTAGCAATAGAGATGGGAAAGAAGGGGACAGATTGAAAAACACTGAGGAGAAGTTTGTTCTTCTCTTATTCATTAAGAGTTCCTATGCGATTTGACGTGAGGACTGAAGGGGAGGGAAGGGTCAGTGATGACTTCGACGTTTTGACTAGTGCAGTTGGGTGGATGGCCAGTGTCATTTCCTGGGTGGGACGGAGGAGCACAGGGTTGGCACAGTGAATGAAGGTGGTTGTATATGTTGTTCTGTGAGCGTGTGTGAGTGTGTACCTGTGTTTTAGACCTGGATCTGAAAGTGCTCAGGTACAAGCAGAAACCCTGGAGCCCTGGGTTCACATCTTTACCCACTACTTCCTACCTGGACCTCTAAGCCAATTTTTTTCATCTATAAACTCGGAAAAATGATACATACCTCCTAGGCTGGTTATGAGTTAGAATATAGCATGTAGTAGCAACTCCATGAATGTTACCAATATTGCTGTTGTTTAGCTTCCTCAGACTTCAGTTTCCTCATCCATCAACTCATTGGTGGGTGGGTGGGGTGCTGGATTAGATGATTTCTGAGATCCTTCCTAGCTATCCAGTTTTTCATTCTAAGATGTCTGCTCTTTGTTTACATGTGTGTAAACAAACACAGTTTTACTCAAAAAAAAATATTAATCACTTCTAGGAACTTGCCACATCAGACTCAGATTCCCCAACAGCAGACTACAGGTGAGTACTAACAGTAAGAAGTTGCTGTTTATGGATGAAGTTAATGGATTGAAAGATAGTTCGTGTATAATATAATTTATGAAGCCTTAGCTTCACCAAGTAAGGTGAAACAGTTGTGTTATTCCTTAATCAGAGTTAGAACCTCAGAATAATAGCTTAGATTATTGCATAGACTGGCATCAGAGTGATAAACGCAGGGTAAATGATCTTAGAGCAAAAGCATCCATGGAGGTCCTGTCTAATTAAGGAAGACTGAATGAAACCCTCTTCCTTCAGTGAAGCCCCTATTCTTCCCCTTGGTATGAAAGATTCTTAGCTTAGATGTATCCAGGATTTGTCTCAGTAAGTGAGCAGCTTGAAACTGACTCTTACAAAAGGAAACCATTGTGACTAATCACTGAGGCTTCAGGGGGATAAATGAGAAATGGTTAGCCTGGTTCTAAAGCCACTTTAAAAAGCTGTTATAACATGACCAATGACAACAAGATGGCGGACATTTCTCCCTGGACTATTCTATTTCCCTAAGACATGCTTTCTTTAAGTTTATTTCTTTCAAGTGTCCCTTAAAAAGTTCCACAGCCAATTATTTCATTCATCTCGGTACAAGGAGGTAACTTATTCATGATTGTCTTCTAATTAGTGGTTGATTCCTAGTTCTAATTGCCAGGCAACCAGTAATGCCTTTGTAGCTCTTTCGGAAAAGCAAGAGACGTTTTAAAAATGTAAGTTGGATGTGGAATTCTGAGTATGAATAGTGTTATTGTGGTAGGGAAGCTATTAAGTAAGTCTCTTAAAAACTTTAGGCACATATAGAAATGTATTGGATGTTTTCATTCAAAAATTATCTTGTTCATTACGGCTTTCGGGAATTTAAGGAGATTTTCGTTTGACAACTTTTCAAAGATTTGAGGCAAGTATAATGAAGTTGTTCATCAGATTTTAATTACGAGATAATGTTTATCAGAATTTTCCCCCACAATTTTGATTGCTTGTTTTAATTAAATGCTAACATGTTTCAACAAGACTGTTCAATATATTGATGTAAGCATTCAGGAGATTGATGAAGGAACAAACTTTATTATAAATATGTGTTATCTAAAGAGCAAAGAAATAAATGAATCTCTACTACCTTCATGGCTTTTTTTTAAAAAACAGGAAAAGTTTTTAAAGAATATTTCTACAATGGAATTGCTAAAACGTCTTCCTCATTAACGTCATAGACTTCCATGTCTTCTAAGATGTCTTTCCTCTGATTAATAATTATTTCAGGCAAGGAGTAAATAGATGGGAGACAATTTCTAGAAAAATAGTAAAAAAAATTTTTTTTGAGTATTTTAAAAATCCAATCCAGATTTTACTTGGAAACCTAAGTAGATAACATTAGGGAGATTTATTTCATTTGTATAGATTTTTAGCAAGTAGACCTGTTAGTGTGCTTCATTTTAGTAATAGGCAGCATTTTCAAATATAAGGACAATTTATGCCTGAGCAAATGTGATAAGAGCCAGAGAATTTCCCTTAGGGGGCTTTTAGGTTGTTCAACCTAATTTTCTAAATTATTCTTCTAAAACAGGTTTTGGGGAGTAGGCATTTTGCTTACATCATGAAAGCTTTGGTCTCCTTTTTAGTTAACACTATAGCCTATTACCTTCTTGTTTTCTTACATTTTTCTGTAATTTTGAGCATATTATTGACTAAAGTATACTATTTCCTCTTGGTATTTTTTT